CTTGTCCCGTGTGTTTGCAAAGTGAAATAGTAGTTTTATTCAGTCTTGGAAATGATATAGGCATTTCTTTGTTGAGCTAGTTATATGCTTTTACCCACCTAATTGGTATGAATCTTAGTTAACCCCTTTGAGCCTGTAATCCTGTTTCTTTGGCACCCACATTACAAGCCTTACCCTTTTGTTTGAATTGACCATCTATTTGAACCTTGTTCCTCCCATGAACACTTAAAATTGTTATGAACTGTGTAAAAGTTGAAGTGTGGGGTGATTGGTTTGGCTTTTGAGTGGAACTATTGAAATAATGAGAAAGGTGCACTGTTTTAAAAAAAAAGTAAGAGCCATTTGAATTGAAAAAGAAAGAAAAAAATTATTGTATGGTTGTGAAAAATACTCCTTGATAGTGGTAACTCTTGATGTAATTGTGCTTAAAGAAGTAGGGAGTTAATATATATTGATGTGAAGATGGCGTTATGGTTTGGCATAAGTGTGGGGTTTGGAAGGTAAAGTGTATTTATTAAAGTGATTAGGGAGGTGTAGTCACTCTTATATCTAAATGTATACTACCCGTCCCGTAGCTTACATAACAACCAATTAAAGTCCTACTTGATCCTCGACTGAATGAGCTCAATTAGTAGAGTAGTACACTACGGGTAAGACTATAGTTCATATTTTGTGGCATATGAATATTATTTCTGAGAATGAGTGAATTCTTTCTATCTTGAGTTCCTAGTTGTTCTTAATGTCTATTGTGTGTGGAACTACTCTCTATTGATGTGAAAGGACACTTGATTCATGAAGGAAATGTAATGTCGTTGACCTCTATGTTGGAGTAAGTGAGCGAGTTGTGAACAATGCGTGGTACTTGTGAGTCAAATCTTGAGGCTAGGATGTTACATTGAAATGCTTAGTCTATTTTAAATATTCTTGAGTTAGGAGAGTTGTTTAAAAAGGTCGCGTCTTTATAAAGTGTAGTTTGATTGCTCGAGGACGAGCAATGGTTTAAGTGTGGGGTGTCGATGGTAGGCTATAATCTCGTATTTTACTTGCCTATTGCACTCTTAATTTATTACACTTTAATTGAGTTTGAGCTTTAATCGCTAGTGTTTTGCACTAATAGTGTGTTTTATGCCCTGTAAGAGTGATTCCGAGCTATGTAGATGTTATGGAATTAAGTCAAGCTATTCTGGAGCTTTGAAGTCTGAGTAAAAGCCCAAGGACTAAGTTGGGATCGTGTTCGGGGATCAACGGACAATAGGGCAGTTAACGAGAGAAACGAAGAATTGAGCAGGACACCTCGCGCACCTGGGCGCTCACTGGGCGCGCAAGTAGATCAGTACACTATCCAAAGTGCGCGGCCATATGCGCGAGCACACCTCCAGGTGCGCGGCCGCACACGTCTTATTTTGGAAATTGTCCTATTTCGCGTAGGAAAAGGTGTTTTCGTTTGGGTCCGACCCCTACTTGGTATATATACATGGAAAAATGGTATTTTATGGACTTTGGCCACATCTAAGACCTAAGGAGGCTAAGGAGGAGTTGGAGAAGCAAAAGCACAAGGAATTCATCATTCAATCCTCACTCAAGACACGAGTTTGGATCGTTATATATTTTTCTTTACTTTAAACGTATTTGTAATGAATTGCTCCATGTCTATGGAGTAGTTCTCTTTAGGGTTGATGGATTTGGTGTATTGATATTTGTTTGTGGGTTATAACTCGAGTTTTTATGTATGTAATCATTTTGGATGTTTTAATTGTTGCATCTATATTCACTAGTTCATGTAATCGAGAGAGGCATAACTTGTTATATCTTTGCATAATATTTTGTGGGTTGAATTCATTGATTCTTCTTAGTAATCGGAAGAGGCTAGTTGAGTTGTTGATTAAACTTAGTTAAGAGGATAAGCGAGAGGGATTCTCCTAAAAATCAATCCACTACGAATTCTTGCATATCTACACCGAGCTCAACTTAGTTCATCTTGCGAGGGTGAGACTTAGTCGAGAGATGAGCTTCTTCTAAATGTGAACTAATAATTGAGTGAATGCGAGAGACTCACTTGAATATTAAAAGTGAATTATCTAGAGTTAGATCCCAAAACAATTATCTTGCACCTATTCCATCAAAACCCTATTTTCTCCCATTGATATTTTTTCTTACTCATTGTTGCGATTGTCATTAGTCAATAGTTTAGACTCTTAGTTAATTTTAGTTTTAATCACATAAATCTCAATTGTTGATCATCTTGGATAGCAATCAAGTTATAAACTATAAAAATATTATTTAACACCAATCCCTGTGGATATGATATTATATTATACTATATTCGACTAGCGAGTATATTTAAGTGTGTGTTATGCGCTCGTCACCATCATTGTTTTTACCATTTAGTGTTTTGAGTTGAAAAAATTGGGAAATTTGTGAAAACTTCAAAAGCCATATTTTGAGGATTTGAAAGGCGATTTAAGATCGGAATTGAATAATTTTAGTATGGTTGGACTCGATATTGAATGGGTGTTCGAATTTTGTAAGTTTGGTCGGGTTCCGAGACGCGAGCCTAGGGTTGACTTTTTGAGTTGACTTTTTGATTTTCTTTAAAGATTGTAACTTTATTATCCGGAATAGTTTCTTATGGTTTGTATTTATGGTATGAAGTTATTTTGGCTAGATTCAAGCCATTCGGAGTTGGATATTCGCGGAAAAGTCTTACTAGTGGATTGAGTTAGCATATTTGAAGTAAGTATCTTGCCTAACTTTATGTAGGAGAATTACCCCTTAGGATTGGAGTTATTTTGTGTCATTTGTGGTACGTGAAAGCCGTATACGCAAAGTGACAGGTGAGTACACGGGCTATATAGGGGTTGATACGCATGCGATGAGATAAAGTGGGCTTGATACGGGTGTTGCTAGTAGGAGAACTACTTGATGTCACGCGGTGTGATAAGTTGGACTAAAACGCGTGTAGTTATTTCGGGAAAAAAAATAATTTTCAAAACTAAATGTAAGGCTCCCTTGGTGATATAAGGAAAGATTATGATTGTGATTGTGTAATGAGATACGAGGTGGTATCTCAGACGTGATTCTTGTTGTTATCCTTCATTTATATCACTTGTGTTTGTTTGCATCGTTTCCTTGGTGTGCTTATTATGTGTTCCTCCTTTGATGCCTTTATTGCCTTAATTACAGTGTAGCTTATCTTGTTGTATCTATTCATTGTATTATTTTGTTATTTCCATTATTATACTGTACCATACATGTTCAACTTCTTTATTTATTCTAGTAGATGTCTTAACCTGACCTCGTCACTACTCTATCGTGGTTAGCCTTAATACTTACTGGGTACCGTGGTGGTCTACTCATACTATATTTCTGCACATCTTTTTGTATAGACCCAGGTACCTCATACCATGCTAGGCACCAATGAGTAGAGCTTCCAGATCGGAGACTTCAAGGTATAATTGCCGGCGTCCGCAGGCCTCGGAGTCACCCTCTGTCTTTATTTTCTATTGCATACTCCTTATTTAGATAGTGATGTATTAGAGATGTTCTAGTATACTCGTGTAGAGCTTATGACTCAGTCTCACTAGATTTTGGGAGTTATTGTCAGCTGTATTGTGGAGTTCTTTTATGATAACTGGTTGGTTTAATTTGAAGTTTTATTACTATTTCAGTTATTTCTTCATGTATGTTAGGCTTACCTAGTCTTAGAGACTAGGTGACAGGCACAACATTCTACGGTGAGAGATTGAGGTCGTGACAAAACTGAAGTTACCAAACCGAATAACCCGAAATCGAAAAGAGAAAAGCCGAACCATACCAAATTTAATTAGGTGTGGTATTGGCACTACTAGAAATTCGGCAAAACCCGACCAAGGTCAACCGACCAACTTTGGTCAGTTTTTCAAAATATTATTTTTTTTTTTACGAAACCGACCAACTTTGATCGATTTTCTTTGGCGCAAAAATGCGGAAAACTATTTTTGAGTCCCGCGAAATTTATGTTTCAAGAAACCAACCAACTTTGGTCGGTTTTTCAATTAAAATAAATAAAAATTAATATTAAAAAAAACCAACCAACTTTGGTCGGTTATTTTCGTGCGAAAATGCAATTAAAGAGTATAAATCAAATAAAAGACAGTCTTAAAATAAAATGTACCAATGGTCTAGTGGTAGAATAGTATCCTGCCACAGTACAGACCCCGGTTCGATTCCCAGATGGTGAATCTTTTTATTACATAATTAAAATACCGACCAACTTTGGTCAGTTTTTTTTCCTCTTTTTTTGAATTTAATTGACCAACCAAAGTTGGTCGGTAATTTCCGACCAACTTTGGTCGGTATTCCTTTCCGACCACAAAAATACCGTCCACACGTAAATAGTCACGTTTTGGTCCTTTTTGGCCATTACGGCCAATGTTGGTCGGTTTTTACCGGATTTCTAGTAGTATGGTATAGTATTTTGAGAAACCGAATACTAAAAATAACGAACCAAAATATCTAAATATCATAGTACCGACCGACGAACACCCTTAGCCAGAATTTTCTAATCATAAATAAGATTGCGTTTCAGACAATTACTATAATTCTTGCAAAATGCCCATGAAAAGCACAAAATGTTTTTACATGTAAAGTACATACACATACTCTATCTGTGGCTCATTCAGACATAAAATCTTTAAAATTTTTGAAATAAAATTTATATATTTAAAAATTACGTAAAAAATACTGTAGTCATAATATTTTACAATTTAAAATATTAAAAACTTATAAAAATTATAATCAAAATTTTATTTGACTCATTTGTACACGACATATAAATTGAGAGGAATGGAGCACTAAACTAAGAAAAAAGAGGACGCACACTAACACAAAGAAAGCGAGAGAGATATTTCATAAGATTCTAAGATAGAAAAAATATCTAAGCTAAGCTATCCACGCTGGCAATCTTACTGGGCCAATTTAGAATCAGATATGCACTTTTTCTCACACCTTTTCCCCTTTATTTATTCCCTATTTTCCACAGCCCCATACCCCACCCCCCTTTCATCCACCCCACCGTCTTCTTCTAGCCGGTGAAATTTACCGGAAAATCCTCAATTTCTCTGATCCAATCCTCTACTGAAATCACGGAAGATTTCATTAACTTGAATTTTTTTAAAAAAAATTGTAATAAAAAAAAAGAAAAAATTGTAAGAAGTTCTATGGGCGAAGAAGTAAAAATCACCGACGGTGATGCTTTCACTGGAGACGAAAACCGTGTTCTCGAGTGGGAAGAAGGACTTCCGAGTCTCGAAGATCTAACGCCGTTATCTCAGGCGTTAATCCCGCCGGAACTCGCGTCGGCTTTCAAAATCTCGCCGGAGCCGGCGAAGACGTTGTCCGACGTCAATCGCGCTTCGGAGAGCACGTTTTCGTCTCTCCGCGGCAGCGGACCGTTGCAACAATTACACATTTTGTCCTCACCGGAAACGGATCCGACGGAAAATGGATTGGATCCGAGGAAGACCCGAAGGATTGATCCAGAGATGTTAGACGCGGATTCAGCATTAATGAGGAATGAGAATTGTGGAGGAGGAGATGATAGTAATAATAATTCAGCGTCTAAGACGCTGAACAAGCGGCCGCGGCTCGTGTGGACACCGCAGCTGCACAAGAGATTCGTGGACGTGGTAGCTCATTTAGGGATAAAAAATGCGGTGCCAAAGACGATTATGCAGTTAATGAACGTGGAAGGATTAACGCGGGAAAATGTTGCGAGTCATTTGCAGAAGTATAGGTTGTACTTGAAGAGAATGCAAGGGCTGTCAGATGAGGGGCCCACTTCTTCCGATCATTTATTCGCGTCCACACCCGTGCCACAGAGTTTGCAGCAGTCCGGTGGTAATGGCCCTAATAGTAATGGCCATAACAGTAGCGGTTATAACAGTAATGGTCATAATGGTAATGGTCATGTACAAATGCAAATGCCTATGCCAATGCCAATGATGTATCCCCCACAAATGGTGCCAATGCCTATGATGGGAATGTCAGGACATGGACATGGGTTTCATCATCAGTATAATATGGGGGCGCAACAGCCAGACTGGTCTGGAAATAAATTTGGTTCTTATCATCATGTTGCTCCTAGTGACAAATAGCTATAGTAGACCAAAAAAGAGGTAATTCTTGGTTCTATAAAAGTTGCAACTCTACTGTTTGTGAACTTATTGTGTATGCTAATAGTTAATTGCTTGTACAGGGTTGATTACTGGATTGTTCCATCAGGAAGATTCTCACTTGGTGGATTGCAAACTAGGAATTCCAGTTAGTATCATTTAGGATTTTTCATTTGTTTAGATTCCGTAGATTTATAGGGAGAAAAATTTCATAAATTGCTCTAAATTTCTTAGAGCATATTGGCCTAAGATGAGTTTAAATGGAGTAACAAGGTCAGTGAGGATTCATATAGCCGACCCCAACTTATTTGGGACTGCAGCATACTAATAGTAGTTGCTCGAAATTTCTTAGAGCCAGGTCATTTCTGATTGTAGCTTCTTACTCAAAAAGGAGCTTAATACATAATTGGAGAACAAGATAAAATTGTTGTTTTGATCACACTTTTCTTGAAAGATAGTACAATAATTTCGGATTCTCTTTTTCCTTTTCTATTTGTAACTATTGTAGTTTATCTTTTGGTGTGTGCTTATGGATTTATTATACAAAGTTGAGGGCAAGACCAGGATTTTCCTAGAAGTAGGTGTATACGATATAGGAGTGACTGCTTACTCTAACTTCTTGTTTACTGCTTGCTCTTTTGGTTGATTGCAGATTTTATTTTTGGGTCCCAAACACTATGACAAAAAAGAAAATTAGTTCTAAGAAATTGCAGGCTATTAGAGCATTTTATCTAGCTGTTAGTGTGGGTGGATGACTTCTGGAAGTGGGTTTTTGCTGAAATGCCTATTCTAATTTCTATAGCTGCAGAAAGTAACTTCGTTTGTCCTCTTGAAATTGATGCAAACTAAGATTGATGGTGAACTAAGAAAATATAATGCATTTTCTACACCACAACCAGCACTTCAACGGAAGGAATCGACCCGTTCTAATTTTGTAATAAGCTAGTAAAAAGGGCAGCCCGTTGTACAAAGCATCCGCGTTCACGCAGGATCCGGGGAATGGCTACATCCCAAGGGGTGTGATGTAGACAATCTACCCTAATGCAAGCGTTAGTGGCTGCTTCCACGGCTCGTACCCATGATGTATAGGTCACACGGAGACAACTTTACTGTTACTCCAAGGCTCCCCTTCTGTAATAAGCTAGTAAAGCAAAGAAATTTCTTAATTTTATCCTCCAACATATTTTAGCAGTAACTATATAACACCTTGGTTGAAATCGTTTTCTTGCTATCATATCTATTTCTGCATTCTAGAAATATTTCTGCTGTATCTAATGTGATGATCTATCACATATACATTGCGAATTTCTATTGGATCTCAAGTGTTACACTACATATGTCATTGTGCATTTTGAGAACATTAAAGTTTGATGTTGCTTTGACTTTCATTTGTTTCAGTCATTATCAAATGCTGGTTTCCCCTCCCCTCCCAACCATTTTTCATTTATTGATGAAGAGGAAATCTCATCACCATTACTTATTTTTTTTCTGGGCTGTTTACTGATCCATATATAGTTAAATGTGGCTGTATAAAGGGCAATTAGATGTCTTTTTTCTTATGGTGATTATAGAAGTGCATTGTCCCTTCACATTCAGAAAGGGTTGGCATTAGGGCAATAACAGTTTTCATCTGAATGTCTGATCAACATGTACAAATGAAGTTGTTCTTGCCTTGGTAATCTTCTGGCTCATGCTTTTACCTCAGAAGATTGGGTTAAAAATATAAAACGGCATATCCGATTACATGAGTTTTGCCTTATTGATCATTGGTACTCAAATTTGTAGCGTGGACCAGCCAGATGCTTGAGCTTAGAGAATTCATGACTGATACCACGAGGTATACTCTGGTAGCATTTCGGACAAATTTGAGTTAGACAGCAAATTGTCACTATGTTTGGTCTATTCTTGTAAAGCATTGATGTGGACCCTGAAATAAATTTCATCCAACAGCAGCAGATCATTTATACAATCTCAACATGATATGTGTTAACGTTTTGTGTTAATGTTAGTATTTGGCATTTGTTTTCAGTAATGATCATAGACTCAATAATGTATTAGGAACATTATCAGCTTCCCTAACACGGTTATATGAAGCTTTATCCTTCTTCGCCCAGTTTAAAGCCATATTTACTTTCTATAACAGAATACTTGATTGTATTGTATGTAATTGGCCGACTATACATCTCCTAAATTATTGTGCTTTCTTCAAGTTGAGTAACAATTACAAGCATTTCATTTGGTTGTGTTTTCTCTGAGGTGGCATTAGGTTTCCCAAAACACCTAGATAATCTGCTACCCTGTTTCCCTTGTAATAATGAACATGATATGAAATTCTTTGGGAGGACCCAGTAACTCAATGTCTTATTTGCCCTTACTAAATTAATCAATTTTTTGGGGTATATATATTTTTAACCATCTATTTAATGACTGAAATCATATGGTATTAAATTTTGAGAAGCTTTGATGAATATCTTTTGTGCATTACTTGGTTCACAATTTCACTAGACCTCTAATAACTTCTCCGGTAATGTTGCTCGTGCTTGAAGCCTTCTATTTATATGTGTGCCCTTTTCCCCATTTCGATGTATATGTGTATGTCTATCTATGGACTATGTGAATGTGTCTTGTACTTTTCCTTTCTTTTAAGCTAGTTCAAAGAAGCAACAGTGGGTAGGTAAAGTTCTGCTGATTGTAAGATGCTGTATTGCACCTTCTTCAGTACTTTCTCTTTTTTTTTGGTCCTTCAAATTGTTAAATGGGATATCTTTTACACGCAACTTCTATTGCTTTGAAACTCCGCCTATGTGAGCTTTGCAAAGCGTAGCCGGTCCGAAGCCCGGATAAAGGAGGAGGGTTGCTGGGCAACATTAAAGTAATGTAACTAGGAAGAATCTCTGAGTACTCTAGATGACTCTAGCTAAAACAGATGTTATTCGGCTTCCTGCTTTAGTCGAAACTTTCATGTGGATGCAATGAATCACAGATCATGGAACTAATGAGGAATTTGAAATGATTTTGATAAATTGTGGAATTTGAAACTTTTTTGTAAACTAACGACTTGTGGTGGTGGCTGATTAGAAAATGAGTGGAAGTTGACATCCTTTCCTCTCATTCTTGTAGGTCATTCTAGATTGATGCAGGCATCAATGTTGTCCACACTATGCCTCCCCCAATTCCAGGGAGATGATTTTTCTTTAATTTTCTCAACTTTCTTAACTACTTGATTCTGTTTGTTTTGCCTGAATATCATGATGTTCCTTTTCTATCTAATAAATATATCGTGGTTAGGTTTCCGTTTGTTTCTTGAACATTAAATGTATACATCTCATCTTTCTCCTTTTATCTGCTATGCGTCACTATGAGTGCATGTGTTAGCAACACTTCTGTAGGCAACAAATTTCATGCTTTTTAGTGCTGAAAGCACCAGTCACCACCTTCGTATAGCACAGGTTTTTAGACAATTTCAGAAAACATCTTTGTGCAGGTATAAAGATAACTGCTCCAAGTGCACACTCAAAGAGTGATGTTATAGAAATTCCTTTAATTCTCTTTGTGAAATATACTGTCCATATGTTTCTTGTTCTTGTCAGATGGTAACTGGCTCACTCAGGTGTTCTTTATCTTTTGATTATTTGGTAGCAGATCCTGTATGGATAGTTGCTTATTTCTTATTGTCGAAAACATAGATTTGCTTATCATGTGTACTGTGTACGATGAAGTATAATGTCTGCAATTTGTGCTTGCTCTGCTATTCTGTGGATGTGCCATTCTTCATAGATAGATTATGAACTGATTGATAGAATCCTGTGACCATTTGTTTTCTTGATTGCTTCCATGTTCTTATGTTCTGGATGGACAGAAACGTGGAATCATCTCCATACTGTGGAGTTCATCAAGCAATTGACTATAGGAAATCGCGAGTCATAACTTTACTCCAAAGAAGTCAAAAGAGCATCGTGGTGTATTTCATTCTTCATTACAGAGGGTTTTTGCAATTTAATCTCATTCTACTCTTGCTGGATAGATATTGCTCCTGCACAAGGATCAAAAGTCTCACATTCTTGTAACTTATTTCCGATCAGTGGTTTAACTGACTAAAACTACTTGTTGATTCACCTTTGTGATTTTCTTGGTGTCCTCTTCTACTTAGTATTGAGTCATTTAACTTACTGGGAGAATTGAAAATTTATTGATTTTAACTTCTTTTCCACAATACTCTGGAGAATGGATAAAAAAAAGTCCTATTGCATTTTAAGAAATATTGCTATATATTCTGTTTATACCAGGGACGTTTCTATTTTGAACCACGTGGTTGCACTTGCATAGATGAATATCTGTTCAAAACGCAGGTTTGCCTTCACCCTGCAAACTCGTTATGTCTGCCAACGTTAAAAGTTTACCCTCATGTTTTTTTTTTTTTTGGTTTTGGGGGGGGGGGGGGGGGGGGAGGAGGAGAGAATGAGTAAAGCAGCATTAAAGTACTACTGATACATATTTGTTAAATCCCAGGCTACTGATACATTTTATTTACAAGGCTTGACTCTGAAGCTCAATGCAGCATCAAAGTAGTAGCCAAAAATCCGAAAGAAACTTTAAATTCTGATTTCAGACCATACATCCCCCTCTTCAGTCACAGAGCACACGCCTTAGCTGTGTGCTCTCCCCGTCTTGAACTAGCACACACCTTAGTTCTAGGCTAGTTCTTTGCCTCTAGAACTTTCATCCTCTTAATGTGGTTGCTACCATCAACGCAATCTGCATCAACTTTTCCTCTTCAACTATTGCCCTGTGTAAGCTTTTCAGTTGATATGTGTGACAAAGCTTTACGTAACAATGAAAGGACAGAAATCTGGTTAAGACTCGGATTAGAAATCTCATTTTATATGGGACATCTCATGCAGGTTTTCCTGGTTTACCAAATTTGCCGAGCTTTTTTAACGTGGTTTGATTTAAACCAGGCATGTCCATTGGCAAATATATCTGACATTCAGCTCCTCTAGCCATCTAAAAACTTATGCAACTTCTACCCAACTACAGCCAGGAAACTTTTTCAGCTTCTTCTTCTTGATCACCCTTTTCAACTTTGCAACATTTGCCCACTTACTTGCATCAGCATATAAACTTGATAGCAACACACTACTTCCAGCACTCTCAGGTTCAAGTTTAGCCAGTTGTTTAGCTGCAATCTCTGCTAAATCCATATTTCCATGCTGCCTACATGCTCCTAAAAATGCTCCCCAAACAAATAAATCAGGTTCAATTGGCATGCTCTGAATCAAATTGTAGGCCTCATCAAGTTTCCCTGCTCTTCCTAAAAGATCCACCATACACGCGAAATGCTCCAATCTTGGCTTAATCGCGTATTTATCCTGCATCATTTTGAATAAACTTTCTCCATACTGAACCATTCCAGCATGACTACAAGCAGTGAGAGCTGCTGTGAAAGTCAAGTGATCTGGTTTCCTTTCTTCCTCTCTTAACATTTGATTGAATAGCTCAATTGCTTCACTGCAATACCCATGATTTGCATAGCCAAAAATCATCGAATTCCACGTCACACTATTTCTTTCAGATGTCTTGGAAAACAATTCCTTTGCTTCAGATATAAGTCCACATTTTGCATACATATCTATGAGAGCACTTTTCACATATACATCCTTCTCAATCCCTGTCACCATTGTATAACCATGTATCTCCCTACCAAGCATCAAGTCTGCAACAGTTGCACAAGCAGGCAATATACTACTGATTGTAGCTGAAGTTGGGCACAACCCAACATCCAACATTCGCTTAAACATACCAAAAGCTTCCCTGTTATGAAAATTCTGCACAAGCCCAGAAATAATACTAGTCCAAGAAACTACATCTAGCTCAAGACCATCATCATGCATCAGTTCAATAACTTTACAAACCAGAACCTGATCATCTTCTTGTGAAAATCCCGCGATCAGAGTGTTATATGTCACCACATTAGGCTTCATTCCTTGAATTTTCATCTCCTCAACTAATACCAACGCGTCATTGACAATCCCATATTGAAGATAACCCGAAACCAAAGCATTCATTGCCACCAAATCTTTATCCACCATACCATAAAATACCCTTTTCGCCTTCTCAATTTTACCACACTTTGAATACATATCTATCAATGCACTAACTACATATGAGTCAAATTCAAACTCATTCTTCAGAATCACACCATGTAATATCGCCCCCGTCCGAAAATCACTGAAACGTCCGCAGGCTTTGAGAACACTGGGAAGAACAAACTTATTAGGCTTCACTCCTTCCCTTTGCATCTCAGAGAAAACACCCATTGCTTCCTCATAAAACCCATGTCGAGCATAGGCTCCGATGAGAACAATCCAACGGCGAATATTTGATTCGGGAATTTGGTCGAACAGTTTACGTGCATGGGGTAACTGTTTACGTTTAGCATAGAAAGCAATGAGGTTGGAGGCAAAATGGGTTTTTTGAGCCAATCCATTGATAACCAAATGTGCATGTAATGTTTTGCCTGATTGGAGGGCGCCATTTTGAGCGTAGGCTTCGAGGAGTTTCGTGTATACGTCGGATGTGCAATTGAAGGAATGATAAACAATGGGGTTCGTAGAGACCCTGGTCACTTTGGCTCCAATGACCATTTTAGTTAGCTTTGAATAACTATAGCTAGAAGTCCGTGTCAAACAAACTGCGTTTTGAGAGGAAGAAAAGTATTCCCGTTTTGTTTGACTTGACACAAAGTTTAATAAATATATCATAACATTTGTGTGATTGTAAAACATTTAAAACTTATAATTTTAAACAACATATTATATTTGTGTGATTATAAATCTTTTCAGTAAGAAAATATAAGAATGTGCCAATCTTTTGTAAACAGATTAATAAGAAAATAATGCGCAGGTGAATTACTACGTAGACCTTTTTTTAAAGCCAAATGGTTCCTTATTTCATATTTTTGGGCCGAAATATAACTCAACTTATGCATGTGTAGATGTTTGTCTGTCCTTTTTTGTGTTTTTCAAATACAAAGATTTATGTCTCAAAATGATCGGAAATTGAAGGATTATGTTATAACTTGCTACTTCACACATCTTGACCTGATCAATATTGACTATAATTTTGGACAGATAACCATCTTTTTATTAACATTTAATATTTTATCAATCCATATTAGTTTAGCAAGATTACGTAATAAATGGAGATGAGAATTTATATGAATTAACTATAGTTAAATTATAAAAATGACTTGATTCGTCAATAATTTCATAGATCTACACAAGAATCGTTATTGATAGATTATACAATTACAGCAAATCAAGCAGAGATCTATTGATGCGCGAGGCAATGGAACGGTAGCAGAAGAACAGAGAAAGGAAAGAAAGGAAAGAAAAAGATAAATGCAAAAATAAAACTAGGGCAAAAAAAAGGGATCTTCATTCATAATAACAAAAGGAGATAATTACACCCTATATAGAGAGGAAAATAAGAAAATGATCTAAGCAACTACAGCTGTGTACGCGACTCCTTCTGCCATATCAGTAACTAACTAGGCAGGACTTATTTTATATCAGACAAGGGAAATTAAGTGGCCAATGTGTAATTTAGGAAACTATCTAATTTAAAAGATAAGGGACTTAAGTGAACACTCTTGAAACATCTATCCCTTTTATATATCCTAATGACTTAACCGTTATGTATCATCTTCTCAGCTCAATGTATAACTTCCGCAAGCATCCTCTCTTTACTCCATATCAGATCCCCCCTATCAAAATCTTCCTTGTCCTCAAGGAAGGAAGGAAGGAAACCTAACCATGAGGGAGTGATAATCTTCCCAAGTAGCTTGTTCAGGGGTTAATTGATCCCATTGCACCAGAACTTGAGAGACTGCCTTATTCCCTTTTTGTACCATGCGTCTATCGATGATTTTCTGAGGATTTGGGTAGTAAGGGATGGATATGTCAAGTACGAGAGGGTGAGAGATATTTGTAGGCAAGTTGTGGCATTATTTGAGTTGAAAAACATGAAATGTAGGGTGCAGAAGTAACTAAGGAGGAAGAGACAATTTGTACGCAACAGGGCCAATCTTTTGTAAAATTTGGTATGGCCCATAGTATTTAGCTGAAAGCTTTGAGAAATGAGAGCCTGATAATGTCATTTGTCTGTAAAGTTGAATTTTGAGATAAACCCAATCACCCTCCTTAAATTACCTATCTGAGCGATGCTTGTTAGCCTGAAGAGTCATTCTTTGTTGTGCTCTTTGGAGATGATGTTTGAGTAGTTGAAGTTTGAATTCTCTTGTCAATAGGCTCCTATAAACTTCTTCTATAACTGAGTCACCTGCTACATAGGGTAAATGGAGAGGTGGAGGTTGGCCATAAAGAGCCTCATATGGTGTTGTTTGTATGGAGGAATGAAAGATAGTATTATACCACCACTCAGCATAAGAGAGGTATGAGCACCAATCAGATTGTAAGTCATAACAGAAACATCTGAGATATGTTTCAAGGAATATGTTGATGACTTCTGTCTGGCGTTTGCCCATCAGTTTGAGGGTGATATGCTATGGATGTGTTAAGTGTCACCCCATGCATGGAGACTAATTCTTGCCAAATTTTGCTGGTGAAGATGGGTCCCTTTCACTCACTATGTCGTCACGCATGCCATGTAATTTATAGACATGTTCCGTGAATAGTTTAGCTACTTCTGATGCTGAGTATGGGTGAGAGAGACTCAGGAAGTAAGCATACTTAGTGAGTCTATCGACCACTACTAGAATCACAGTCTTCCCTTTTGATTTGGGCAGACCTTTTATAAAATCCATGCTGATGCTTCTCCAAGCTGTGACTGGCAGCTTTAAGGGTTGTAGGAGCCTTGGGTAAGGGGATCTATCATACTTATGTCTTTGGCAAATGTCATAGCCATTCACATAAGTATGAACATCTTCTCTCAAACCTTTGCAATAAAATAGTGATGCTATCCTCCTGTATGTTTGCTCAATCCCAGAATGTCCTCCCATAGGGGAATCATGCCACAGCTACATAATGTTCTTTCTCAATTTGGGGTCTGGACCAATCACCAACTTGCCATTTCTCCTAAGCTGATCATGGATAAAGGTGTAGCCTTGTACTTCTGTCCCTTCCTTTAGAGTTTGAATCAAGGCAGTCAGGTTTGTGTCTAATTCCCAGCTTTGAGTAATCACTGTTAGCAGGTCAGTCTGAATGGAGGATAGTGTAAGGGCAGCTAGTTCAGCTACTGGGAATCTAGACAAGGCATCAGCCACTTTGTTTTCCTTACCCTTCTGATACTCGATTATGAAGTCATACTGCATCAGCTTAGCTATCCATTTCAATTGTGAACCTGATGCAGCTTCTGCTCAAGAAGGAACTTAAGAGCCTTTTGATCAGTTTTCATTGTAAAGGCCTTCCCAATAAAGTATTGAGTCCATTTGTTTACAGCCATAACCAATGCCAATAATTCTTTATCATACACTGACAGTGTTTGGTGCTGAGGTGAGAGGCCCTTGCTCAAGTAGGCTATTGGTTGACCTTTTTGCATTAAAACTGTACCAATTCCAATGCTAAAAGCATTAGTCTCCACTACAAATGGCGTAGAGAAGTCAGGTAATACCAGAACTGGTGCAGAGGTGAGTGCCACTTTGAGCTTCTCAAAAGCTGAGTAGTTTTAGGAGATCACTTGAAACTGTATTTCTTGAGTAAATCAGTAAGTGGTTTGCTAAGAACCCCATAACCTCTGATGAACCTTCTATAGTACCCAGCTAGGCCCAAAATCCCTCTTAACTGTTTGATGTTCACAGGTTTAGGATAGCCTTGGGTTGCCTCTATCTTTTTGGGGTCTGTTGTCACTCCTTCAGTAGAAATATAGTGCCCTAAGTATTCAATCCTAGTTGCTGCAAACACACACTTACTTTCTTTAGCAAAAAGTTGGTGTTAAACTAACAATTCAAAAGTGATTTTGAGACTCAGCCAAGGTCTTGCTGAAAACTAGGATATCATCAAAGAACACTAGAATAAATTTTCTCAAATGTGCTTGAAAGATGTGGTTCATAAGCCCTTGAAAGCTAGAAAGGGCATTGGGCAATCCAAATGGCATGACCAAGTATTCGTAGTGTCCTAAGTATGTCTTAAATCCTGTCTTGTGCACATCAGAGGGTGCTANCCCCTCCCAAGCTCATCCAATAACTCCTCAATGATAGGTATGGGAAATTTTCCTTGATAGTGAATTTGTTTAGAGCCCTGTAATCAACACACAATTGCCATGATTCATCCTTCTTCCCAACTAAGACCACATGGGATGCATAAGACCTAGGGCTATATTGTATGATTCCTTGAGCCATCATTTCATGCACCATATCTTCAATCAGATTCTTCTGTATTGGGGAGTACATGTATGGTCTAGAATTAACAGGTGAACTTCCTTCTACTAGAGGAATATGGTGGTCAAATATTCCCTTTGAATGAGGCAAGTGTTTAGGTTCCTGGAAGAGCATTCCATATTCATTAAGCAATGATTGAATTGGCACTGGAATTTCCCCATGGGCCTATGAATCTGTAGTTTGTGGTATGTTGGTAGAGAAGACTTTGATCATAAAAATCTGAGCTATGTCAACAAAAATATTATTCAAAGCCTTGGCATCAACAATTTTGAATGAAGGGTAAATACCATGTAGTGTGACAGACTTCCCTAGATAGAGAAAGTGCATAAAAAGTTTCTTAAAATTGACCTTGATATCACCTAGTTTGCACAGCCATTGTATTCCCAACACGACATCATAACTGCCTATGGGAAGCACTAAGAAGTCATCTTGAAAAAGAACTCCTTGCATGAGCCACTGAAACTCCTTGCTTCCCTTAACAGATTGAATGATTCTACCATTAGCTACAGACATATCATGAGGGTGTATTTGGCTGATTTTGCACCCTGTTCTCTTGGCAGCCTTCTCATTGATGAAGTTGTGGGTGGATCCACAATCAATGAGAACATTGATAGGATTTTGTTCAGAGAAGCCCTGTATCTTGAGAGTTCTGTATCCCCTAGTGCCATTCAAGGCTTGAAGTGATATCTCAGAGTTCTCAACAAGATCTTCTTCTTCTTGAGGTTCCTCAGTGCTCTCCACTTCCACTTATATTCCTCCACTGTCTTCCAGTTCTTCTGTACCTATCTCTATAGAATATAGGTGCCTTTTATCCTTGCATTTATGTCCTGGTGTGAACTTTTCATCATAGAAAATACATATACCCTGGGCCATCTTTTCATCCATTTCAGCTGGTGTAAGTCTTCTTTTTCTGAAACCATCAAGGTTAGCAGTAACAGGTTATTTGTAGGCAGGTGTAGTGGCCTTTACCCAACCAGTAAAGCCTTGCCCTTGAGATGTCCTTACAGCAGAGTGCAGGTGTGCTGCAAATATTGCCTTGATAGCTTTGCTTTGTGCAGTAAAGTTGTCCTCGTATAGCCTGGCCAAGTAGTAGGCTTGTGGTAAACTGGTGGGATTATCAATTCTCATAGCATTGTTGATTTCAGGCTTAAGATTGTTCAAGAAGATGCTAATAGCATGTTCTACTAACAGGATCATTCTGGTCATGATACTATTGAAAGCCTTTTGGTAATCCTTCACACTCCCAGTATGCTTGACATTCATAATTTCAGTCATAGGATCAGAGTACTCAGCCCCAAAACTATCACATAAAGCCCACGAGTATTCATCCCAAGTAGGAAGTGGCATTTGCCCTCTACTTCTCATGTATCCTAAATGCCATTGTAAGGCATCCCCTTCAAAATGCGTGGAAACCAGTCTCATTTTCTGTTGAATAGTAAGGTCC